ATAATCGTCCAACTACGCAAGCAATTGGCAAAATTGTGAAACAATTTAAAGAGATTAGAACGTTTACAAAAATTGTAAGGCCTATGCTTCAACGTTTTTCTTGTTTCGCTGAAAATGTCTTGCCGAAAACCTGAATGTGTCGATTACTTGATAAAGCATATTTCTTACTCGAAAATCCTCAACCATTAAATCCAGAAAAATTCACTGTTTGGTGTGCTTTTTGAACCCTTAAGGGGGCCATTACATGCAGAAAAATTCACAGTTTGTTTTGATTTTTGGTTCAATGGGACGATTGGATTTTACTTTTTCGGAAACGAAGATAAAATGTTGTGTGCTGTTGCCGTCAAGTCACAAACCACACAAACCGATCGAATTTGATTTATTAGAAAGATGCGCAATTTCTCGCCATTTCACAAGAGATTAATATTAGTTGTGTAGAAGTCGAGTTAATAATTTGCAATCCAAATTCCTGGAGAAGAGAAAACATATTGCATTTTTTTATTTTATATTACACCGAGCCACGGTCCGTCAAGGTTAAACAAATGAATGCAGACAAAACGAAATATATGGTGGCCTAATGCGTATAAATAATGTCATAACGTATGTGACCCAGTGTTTTATGATAATACTACCTTGTAATGCCACCTGATGTCTTTCATTCTAGAACGGGTAAGAATCAACTGTCATCCCTATTTTTGGAAGTTTTTTTATAATTTTTTTTCTATGTTTTTTGAATACCTTGATGTTTTCTCAGAGTTATAATAATTTTGAAAGATAGACTATACTCCCAAACCAATGATCTTCATTTTGCACTAAATCCTGGTGTTTTCTGTGAGCTTAAATAGTGTCATAACCTGATTAGTATTTTCCGAAAAAATACAAATAACCTGCAGTTTAAAATAAATCAACCATTAAAGGATTATGAACACCAATGTATATATGTTGCGCCGTAACGTGTACGACACCTCGTCAATCTGAGATGAAGAGAAATTACACAAATCAAAATCTTTTAAAACGCATTAAGATGGCATCAAAGTATTAAAAAACCTTATTTTTCAATGCCATATATGGGAAAATAGGTGTCTATTTATAAACAGAGAAAGTTTTATTTTGAAACCTTGCAACAGATGGTATTGGAATATTAAAGGAAATACCTTGAGGACTTCTCAGAGGTATTACAATTTTGAAAAATAAACTATACGCTGAAATCAATAATATTTATGTATGACTCCTCATAATTTATTCATTCTTTTAAGTGAGCCTCACTAAAGCCTCGTGTTTTCTGTGAGCTTGCAACAACATAATTTGTATTTTCCTATAAATATACAAATAACCTGTAGTTTTAAATAAATCAGCCATTAAAGGATTATGTACACCAATGTGTATAAATAGCGCCGCAACGTATACGACACCTCGTTTGAAGTGAAATTACACAAATAAAAAAATTTTAAAGCAAAATATTAAATTCATTTTTTTAGCCATAAAAAATAATGACGAACTACATAAAATTCCTAGTTTCCAATAAAGATTAGTTTAAAAGTAGATTAAGTTGGTGTTAAAAATCTATTGCCTATCATCTTCAAGATTAATATAAACTGATGACTATGAATCTTTTCGTAAAAAGTTGACACCGTTTTGTTTAAGTCCACTCCAAAATTATATAGGAAAGTTTCGGAAGGTCAAAATGTTTATATAAATTAACAACTACATTTCAAAAATTTTCGTTTCAAAGATTAATCTGAAATTTGAAAAATATTCGATTAGCTTTATCCAATAATAAGATATATATACCTAAGCTAGCGAAAGCAAAATTAGTTTGACGAAAGATTGGACGTTTTATACTTCTAGGGATTCTGTGGTCTTTCCATTCACATCTCCTTAGGTCTGTTAGTTCGAGGATAGTCTCATTTTCCAAGAATTGCATACTTGCAAAAGCTGAGAAATCTTCTAGCAATTTGCTGTCTTCCTCGCACACATTTTTGTGGAAATGTGACTGAAGGCAGATGTTCCGTAAGTATGCCTGTCAGTCGTAAAAATATGATGTTAGTGTTATAATTTCATAAAACGATTATAATTTCATAACAAGTGAAAAAGCGTTAAGTTCGGCCGGGCCGAACTTTGGATACCCTCCACCATAGATATACTGACAGGTACTTGAAATGAAAATGTGGGGAAAATACCAAAAAGTGAACCTATACCGACATTTCTACAACATGATTATGTAAATCATAATGTGAACCATGTTCCAGAAAATTTTGATTTCATCTAACCTGTGCCTATCTTATTATTTCTTCCAAACTTAGTTCAGGTTCGAAGATGTGGACTATCGGTCCACTCCTTCTGATACCTTCCACACAGGGGCTAGTTCATTATCGAACCTTACGTTCTAGCTTTATCTCGATATCCTCCGCAGGTTAAATGATTACGACAGACTCTTAGAACCAAACCCAAAACGCGGAACAAATTAGATAACTATTTTAATATAAGAAGGGGGTTATATGGGGACTACCCAAAAAAGGTGGCGAATATAAATAATTTTTGGTAGGGAGATTTGTTACCATATACCAAATTGCAGCGAATTCGGTTGAAAAACGCTCTCAAGGACCCCAAAATACGGAATATTGGGGATACCCTTATATGGTGGCTACGAAAAAAATTGACCTATATTCATAATTTTTTGTGGAGAAATTTGGTATCTATTAAGAACTCAAAATACTAAATTACAGCTAATTCGGCGGAAAAATACGATCAAAACTACCAAAATACTGAAAATTGGGAGGTTGTGTTATATGGGGGCTACTAGAAAAAGTGTACCTATACTCATAATTTTTTGTGGAAACATTTAATACCCAATAAGAACCCAACGTACCAAATTTCAGCGAATTCGGTTGAAAAACACGGTCAAGAAGCCAAACAAACCCTTATATGGGAGCTATGCCTAAACGTGGACCGATATATCCCATCTTCGAAATTGACCTGCCTGCAGACAAAAGACAACCCTATGCAAAATTTCAGCACCATATCTCAATTCCTTCAGAAGATAGCGTTATTACAACAGACGGGTTGTAGGGTCGGAAATTAATATTTCGATGTGTTACAAACGGAATGACAAAATTAATATACCCTCCACACTATGGTGGAGGGTATAAAAAGTAGGAACAACATTGTGTTTAGCCTTCTAACATTTGTAAATAAGGCTTTAGAATCTCAAAATATTTTATGGTAGAAAGATAAACGATTGTTAGTCCTTTTAAGTACTAGAAAAATTATAAAAATATAAATAATATTTACGCTGTAGTACAAATGGTAACCTTATATTTTATTGTACTGTACTTCTATGCGTATAAGTAATGTCACAACGTATACGACACATGGTTTTGAAATATCAAAGAGCAAATAGATAAAAATTTCACATATTTTCGAACTTTTCGTACATTCAAATTTATTCAGTTTTAATTTTGCTGAAATATTTTCCCAGAACAGTATAGCAGTATCTTTTTTTTCAAAACTCAATACATGTAAAATACATAGAAAAATAATATTATGATCTCACTTTAATATTTTATATCATCAGAAAATGTTCCGAAATTCTTTGTGGCAATTAAAAATGTAAATATTGGAGGAAAGAGCTAATTTTATTAACACATACGGTTTCCTATGTTAAAAAAAAAACAGATATAAAGTGCAACAAAAAGGAACTTAAAATTTCATTGTACTGCCCTGAAATGCGTATAAGTAATGTCACAGCGTATACGACACACTGATATGAAATATCGCTCATCAAACAACGAGAAAGTATAAATAATTAAATTGGAATTGAGGCAAAATTTTCTTTTCACTTCCAGTAAAATGATTAAGATTTATAACAGTACAACATACGAAAGGAAAATATTTTTATTTTTAATATTTTATAGCATCGGACAATGTTTTGGAAGTCGATGTTGAAATGAAATCGTATAAGGCAATTAAAAATGTTGATAGGAGAGGAAAAATCTACTGACACATATGGTTTTCTATAGGTAGACAAATTAAAAATAAGTCGCTTTCACTGTCTTCCCATGCGTATAAGTAATGTCACAACGTATACGACACAAACAACGAGAATTTATATAAAATTTAACTTAAATTGTGGCATACATTCGAAATCGTTAATTTTTTCGTATTTCAGAATTAAAAAAATTAAAAATATAAAAATAAAATATTGTGATTTTCTTTTGTCTTTTTATTTTCTTTAATCCAATTTTTTCTATTTTCATTCAATATAAATATTATTTTCTAATTTACTACACCCTAATATACATTTTTCTCATTATTCTTAATATTTCTTTACTTATAATGCTCTTAAATAAATCAAAATAAATTCATTTAAATTAATATTAGTTAAACAAAGATATGGAAAAGGAAATATTCGTTTACCTCAAAAAAGGATTTTTGGTTTTGTTTTGTTTTTTTTTTTAATATGTGTAAGTATATATAATTAGATGTATTTGTGTATGTATTCCTGATGATAATTACAACAACATAATTAAATATTTTTTGTTTGTTGGCTTCGTGAATTTCTATTTTTTGTTTGTTTTTCATTTTCCAAAGGAACATAATTACAAATGAGGATATATGTATGCATGTATGTACTTCCTTTCTCTTGATTTTTTTGTTTTGAAATTTAAGTTTATTTTGTTTTCTACTAATTGTAAGTGATTTATATACCATATGATATAATGAGTTTATTTTTTTATATATATATTTAGTTCCTCTTTGATCACTTTTTTTCTCAGTTTGCATTATTTATTTTCCTTTTGATTGAATTTTTATATTTCTTATTTTTATGACTTTCTTTTATTTTGAAAAAAATGATGATAATTATTTTCTTTATATATAAATAAATTTTAAATACTATACAGATTTACATTTAATGTTTTGAGTGAGTTTCTTTTGTAGATGTGTGAGTGTGTGTGTGAGAAAGAGGGTGAGAGAGAATGAGTTGTTTATGGCCCTTACTTTTAATGGGAATGTAGATTACTCTCCACCCATTTATACAGTGAGGGCTGAGATCTAGCCACCCATTCTACATTGGAAGCCACACTACTTAGGGTCATATTTAAAACCCCCAAACCGGGCCCTCGACCAAAACGATGTACCAGGGATTTGAGCTGTGGGAGTAAAGGAGACACAAATTAATAATTTTTAAAAATAAATTTTGAGTTCTTTTCCATTATTACCTCATCATAATCGAATTTTGTTGCCCCGTATTGTGTTATGGCCGATATCACTTTGGCAAATGCCAGTGTACCCTGGCCCATACGTGATTCCAATTCAAACCATTTGGCCTGCAAGAAACGACAAGCCATGGCACCGCCTGTGGGTGTTCCAGCAATTGCCTGCAGCACCTGTACCACTTCAGTGGTCGGCAGCATGGTTACATGGGAGAGCAGACGATTTTGTAGCCAGGCATCTTTAGTTCTACCCAAAGCCCTCAGCAACTGCATACGTTCCACATAGCTATCGGAATTTCTTTGCAGGGTAACAAATCTCTCCCAACAATGTTGCCAGAAAATATACTCCCCCGATAATATGGAACCTGTGTAAACGACCTGCAAGAGAAATGAGAGACGATTTTAGTAAGCCAATAAGAGAGTAGCTGATTTGAATTTACCTCTCTCAGATTTGGGGGAATAGCTGTGCCATTGTAGAATAGAAATTGGTTCAACATATTTTTCGCCTTGGTTATGCTGTCGATGTCTTCCCAGAGAACGGAGGCGAGTAACACTTCAGGACGCATTAATCTGTTTGGGGGAAAAATAATTAAGTAGTTAAAAAATATTTTTCAAGGACTATCAAAACTTTGATTAAAAAAAAATATTTTTTCAAAGTCCACACAAGGCGTGGATTTTTTAAAGACCTTTATAAGGCGTGGATTTTTTAAAGACCTTTATAAGGCGTTGATTTTTTAAAGACCTTTATAAGGCGTGGATTTTTTAAAGACCTTTATAAGGCGTGGATTTTTTAAAGACCTTTATAAGGCGTGGATTTTTTAAAGACCTTTATAAGGCGTGGATTTTTGGCGTGGATATTTTTCAAGGAGCATACACGACGTACATTTTGTCAAGGACCATACAATGCCTGGATTTCTAAAAGAATATTTTTTCAAGGACCATACAAGGCGTAGATTTTTCAAGGACCATACAAGGCGTGGATTTCTAAAATAATATTTTTTCAAGGACCATACAAGGCGTGGATTTCTAAAAGAATATTTTTTCAAGGACCATACAAGGCGTGGATTTCTAAAAGAATATTTTTTCAAGGACCATACAAGGCGTGGATTTCTAAAAGAATATTTTTTCAAGGACCATACAAGGCGTGGATTTCTAAAAGAATATTTTTTCAAGGACCATACAAGGCGTGGATTTCTAAAGAATATTTTTTCAAGGACCATACAAGGCGTGGATTTCTAAAAGAATATTTTTTCAAGGACCATCCAAACAAGGCGTGGATTTCTAAAAGAATATTTTTTCAAGGACCATACAAGGCGTGGATTTCTAAAAGAATATTTTTTCAAGGACCATACAAGGCGTGGATTTCTACAAGAATATTTTTTCAAGGACCATACAAGGCGGGGGATTCAAGGCCATACAAGGCGTGGATTTCTTAGAGAATATTTTTTCAAGGACCATACAAGGCGTGGATTTATTAAAGAATATTTTTTCAAGGACCATACAAGGCGTGGATTTATTAAAGAATATTTTTTCAAGGACCATACAAGGCGTGGATTTATTAAAGAATATTTTTTCAAGGACCATACAAGGCGTGGATTTATTAAAGAATATTTTTTCAAGGACCATACAAGGCGTGGATTTATTAAAGAATATTTTTTCAAGGACCATACAAGGCGTGGATTTATTAAAGAATATTTTTTCAAGGACCATACAAGGCGTGGATTTATTAAAGAATATTTTTTCAAGGACCATACAAGGCGTGGATTTATTAAAGAATATTTTTTCAAGGACCATACAAGGCGTGGATTTATTAAAGAATATTTTTTCAAGGACCATACAAGGCGTGGATTTATTAAAGAATATTTTTTCAAGGACCATACAAGGCGTGGATTTATTAAAGAATATTTTTTCAAGGACCATACAAGGCGTGGATTTATTAAAGAATATTTTTTCAAGGACCATACAAGGCGTGGATTTATTAAAGAATATTTTTTCAAGGACCATACAAGGCGTGGATTTATTAAAGAATATTTTTTCAAGGACCATACAAGGCGTGGATTTTAAAGAATATTGGTTTAAGGACCATACAAGGCGTGGATTTTTTAAAGAATATTTTTTCAAGGACCATACAAGGCGTGGATTTATTAAAGAATATTTTTTCAAGGACCATACAAGGCGTGGATTTATTAAAGAATATTTTTTCAAGGACCATACAAGGCGTGGATTTATTAAAGAATATTTTTTCAAGGACCATACAAGGCGTGGATTTATTAAAGAATATTTTTTCAAGGACCATACAAGGCGTGGATTTCTAAAAGAATATTTTTTCAAGGACCATACAAGGTGTGGATTTCTAAAAGAATATTTTTTCAAGACCATACAAGGCGTGGATTTCTAAAAGAATATTTTTTCAAGACCATACAAGGCGTGGATTTCTAAAAGAATATTTTTTCAAAGACCATACATTTTTTACAGAACCAACATGGCGTGTATTTTTTAAAGAATATTTTTTCAAGCACCATACATTTTTTCCATAAACAACATGGCGTGTATTTTTTAAAGAATATTTTTTCAAGCACCATACATTTTTTCCATAAACAACATGGCGTGTATTTCTAAAGAATATTTTTTCAAGGACCATACAAGGTGTGGATTTCTAAAAGAATATTTTTTCAAGGACCATACAAGGCGTGGATTTCTAAAAGAATATTTTTTCAAGGACCATACAAGGGGTGGATTTCTAAAAGAATATTTTTTCAAGGACCATACAAGGCGTGGATTTCTAAAAGAATATTTTTTCAACGACCATACATTTTTTACAGAACCAACATGGCGTGTATTTTTTAAAGAATATTTTTTCAAGCACCATACAATTTTTCCATAAACAACATGGCGTGTATTTTTTAAAGAATATTTTTTAAATCCATCTATAGAGGTGAATTTTTCAAAGAATATTTTTTAAGGTCCATCTATAGTCGTGGATTTTTTAAAAAAATATTTTTTAAGGTCCAAGAATATTCGTCAAGGTTTTTACTTGATTTTTTGAATTTTTGTATTACCTGGTTGCTTCATCGCCCTCATCATTCCAACCGATCTTCTCAATTACCGTCGACAGCTTCATTTTTATAAATTCCGACAGCATTAGGAAACATTCCGAATATTTCAAAATGCGACGCCATTTCTCCAAATGCCTTAGAGTCAAGGCCATTGGACCCCAATTTGTTTCACTCGGCAGATATTGAATCAGATTCATTGTAATTTCACATGGCAACAAATTAGCGTGGCAGAGAGTAAATGCATCCGACAAGAGGCCCAAGCGATCCTGAAAACATAAAAATCAAACATTTGTTAATATTTCTGTGGTAGTTTAAAACTATGTTCAACTTACTTCTCCGGTAAATTTCTCAGGATCATTTGCCATATCCTCAATAATATTCGCCCAATTGTCTTCGTTATATAGCACACGATAATAGCCCGATTGCCGGGCATTTACCTTAATCCATTTTACACTTTCCGGGACGTTGAATGTTACTGTAGAAAATTGAAAAGGGAAATTGTATTTTAGATCAAAATTTTGGTTGGGGGAACTTTCTTTAATGTTCTTCCCCCGATCCGCCTCTCCAACTTACCATCGATATTTTGCATCCACAATGTTTCCGTATTATTGTTGATATCTGTCACATAGGTTATGGGAAAAATCCATTTCATTTGTTGCGGAGGTTTGTGTTTGCCACTGGCCGTTGTTGGTGTCGGTGTGGTTGATGTTGTTGTTGTACCATTTGTGGAATTCACGTTAGTTTTGTTGTAATTATTACCATCATAGGTATCATCATGAATGGCTAAAAATTCGGCAGGTTTAAATGGTTTTTGTGATATGGTTATACGATTGCCCATTTTCGTTACGGTCAGCAGGGGGAAACCGGGTTGATGGGTCCACAGTGACATCATGTCCTGGAAAGGAAGAAGATAGGTAGAATATTATGTAAGGTTAAAATAACTCGAAAAGAAAGGTCTCCCATGGAAAGGTGTGGATTTTTTAAATAGAATTTTTTCGGGGACTATCAAGGCGTGGATTTTTTAAATAGAATTTTGTCAGGGACTATCAAGGCGTGGATTTTTTAAATAGAATTTTGTCAGGGACTATCAAGGCGTGGATTTTTTAAATAGAATTTTGTCAGGGACTATCAAGGCGTGGATTTTTTAAATAGAATTTTGTCAGGGACTATCAAGGCGTGGATTTTTTAAATAGAATTTTTTCAGAGACCATCAAGGCGTGGATTTTTTAAATAGAATTTTTTCAGGAACTATCAAGGCGTGGATTTTTTAAATAGAATTTTTTCAGGAACTATCAAGGCGTGGATTTTTTAAATAGAATTTTTTCAGGAACTATCAAGGCGTGGATTTTTTAAATAGAATTTTTTCAGGAACTATCAAGGCGTGGATTTTTTAAATCTTCTGTTCATATAGGACCTTTTATCTTGATGTTTCCGATTATAGAACTCTAATCGATTTTCCTTTCCATCAAAGCAAAAATACTTACCTTTATATTTTTAGCTCCATTGGCTTTCTTCGTGCAAATATTCCACAAATCCAAAGGTTCGGCAGTTTTAAACCGGTTCAGCTTGAGAAAACCTCCTAAGCAACTTCTGAAACGATCTTCTCCTATAGCCGTATGTAACATGGAAAATATGGCGGCAGTCTAAAAGAAGAACAAGAGAGAGATAAAGGTAGCCATTAAAAAAACTGAAACTTCAAAATCCTGGACCCACTTACTTTTTGTATAAAGAACTCCTCATTGTTGCCATCATGACTGGTGCCGTTCATTATGCTATCCCATCCCTGGATCGCATCGATATCCAATGCTGCTGTGGCCATATTAAATAAATACATTTCACGTAAAGGCCAATTTTCTTGCAGTGGTGATAGGGTGTGAATACCCAAATATTTAATTAGACCCTCCCACAACCATACATCTTTTAAAATTTTTCTCGAAGTAATACCACCGAAAAATTGTCGCACAATTGCCTCAGCTACCAGTAAAGCGCTCTCTTGATATTGTGACGTTGTAATGGATTCCGGTTCCGTAAGAAAAGATGTCTTCAATGTGACCAAACCCAATGAAGATATAATATTACGATCCAACGATGGCAATGCCACAAAATCAACCTTGGTCAACGGATAACTAACCTCCAACCAGGTTTGTAAATATTCCAAAACATCTCTGGATGTGTGCAGAATAAATGAAGATCTTGGCAGTAGCTCACGCGGAGCATAAAATGTATACGAAGGGGCTCGTGTAATACTGGAACGTGTCGATTGGCTAAGGGCTGTAAGATTTTTCGTATCGAAATCCTTGGAGGGAGTTGCAGTAGTTGTGGTGGTGGTGGTAAGATTTTTACCCAAAATATTGATGTTCAATGAATGGGTCAGGGCTGTGATGTTACGCACTGGAGGTTTCTTATCCTTCTGCAGAGTATAATTACTCAGTTGACCCGATTTTCGACCACTACCACTTGATGGCGGAGCTTGTGTTGCAGGTAAATAGGCAGCTGAGGGTTGTAATGACTCACGCTGGAAATCACTTACAACCCAAGCCACAGCATCGGCTGGCAGTGGTGGTGTTTCAATGAAGTCGTCGCGGAGCTGAAAGGTAAGAGAGGGAGGGAGATAGATTTAGTTTCAGTTCTTTTTGAATATAGATTTCGTTACTTACCAACCCAGTACCCATATAGAAGCCAACATCCTCTGTGGTATGGACAATGGAATTGGAAAGACCGATATGGAAGCGATCACGAAAGACCGAGACACGGAAGGGTGCTCTTATATGGGGCTCATCGAAACAAGGGAAGGCTTTTCTTGCACCATTCGGCCGGAAAACTGTGGCTGCCAATAATCTGTGAAACAAAATAATTAAAATTGCAGATTTGAAGGATATTGGACTAAAAATCGAATAATATAAGCACAGATTTTTTAAATACTATTTTTTATCATTAGGTGTGGATTTTTTAAATAATATTTTTTAAAGACTATCATTAGGCGTGGATTTTTTAAATAATATTTTTTAATGACTATCCAAAGGCGTGGATTTTTTAAGGACCATCACAAGGCGTGGATTTTTTAAGGACCATCACAAGGCGTGGATTTTTTAAGGACCATCACAAGGCGTGGATTTTTTAAGGACCATCACAAGGCGTGAATTTTTTAAGGACCATCACAAGGCGTGGATTTTTTAAGGACCATCACAAGGCGTGGATTTTTTAAGGACCATCACAAGGCGTGAATTTTTTAAGGACCATCACAAGGCGTGGATTTTTTAAGGACCATCACAAGGCGTGGATTTTTTAAGGACAATCACAAGGCGTGGATTTTTTAAGTACCATCACAAGGCGTGGATTTTTTAAGGACCATCACAAGGGGTGGATTTTTTAAGGACCATCACAAGGCGTGGATTTTTTAAGGACCATCACAAGGCGTGGATTTTTTAAGGACCATCACAAGACGTGGATTTTTTAAGGACCATCACAAGGCGTGGATTTTTTAAGGACCATCACAAGGCGTGGATTATTTAAGGACAGTCACAAGGCGTGGATTTTTTAAGAGCCATCACAAGGCGTGAATTTTTTAGGGACCATCACAAGGCGTGGATTGTTTAAGGAACATCACAAGGCGTGGATTTTTTAAGGACCATCACAAGGCGTGGATTTTTTAAGGACCATCACAAGGCGTGGATTTTTTAAGGACCATCACAAGGCGTGGATTTTTTAAGGACCATCACAAGGCGTGGATTTTTTAAGGACCATCACAAGGCGTGGAGTTTTTAAAGAATATTTATAAGGACCATCACAAGGCGTGGATTTTTTAAGGACCATCACAAGGCGTGGAGTTTTTAAAGAATATTTATAAGGACCATCACAAGGCGTGGATTTTTTAAGGACCATCACAAGGCGTGGATTTTTTAAGGACCATCACAAGGCGTGGATTTTTTAAGGACCATCACAAGCCGTGGATTTTTTAAGGACACAAGGCGTGGATTTTTTAAGGACCATCACAAGGCGTGGATTTTTTAAGGACCATCACAAGGCGTGGATTTTTTAAGGACCATCACAAGGCGTGGATTTTTTAAGGACCATCACAAGGCGTGGATTTTTTAAGGACCATCACAAGGCGTGGATTTTTTAAGGACCATCACAAGGCGTGGATTTTTTAAGGACCATCACAAGGCGTGGATTTTTTAAGGACCATCACAAGGCGTGGATTTTTTAAGGACCATCACAAGGCGTGGATTTTTTAAGGACCATCACAAGGCGTGGATTTTTTAAGGACCATCACAAGGCGTGGATTTTTTAAGGACCATCACAAGGCGTGGATTTTTTAAGGACCATCACAAGGCGTGGATTTTTTAAGGACCATCACAAGGCGTGGATTTTTTAAGGACCATCACAAGGCGTGGATTTTTTAAGGACCATCACAAGGCGTGGATTTTTTAAGGACCATCACAAGGCGTGGATTTTTTAAGGACCATCACAAGGCGTGGATTTTTTAAGGACCATCACAAGGCGTGGATTTTTTAAGGACCATCACAAGGCGTGGATTTTTTAAGGACCATCACAAGGCGTGGATTTTTTAAGGACCATCACAAGGCGTGGATTTTTTAAGGACCATCACAAGGCGTGGATTTTTTAAGGACCATCACAAGGCGTGGATTTTTTAAGGACCATCACAAGGCGTGGATTTTTTAAGGACCATCACAAGGCGTGGATTTTTTAAGGACCATCACAAGGCGTGGATTTTTTAAGGACCATCACAAGGCGTGGAGTTTTTAAAGAATATTTATAAGGACCATCACAAGGCGTGGATTTTTTAAGGACCATCACAAGGCGTGGATTTTTTAAGGACCATTACAAGGCGTGGATTTTTTAAGGACCATCACAAGGCGTGGATTTTTTAAGGACAATCACAAGGCGTGGATTTTTTAAGGACCATCACAAGGCGTGGATTTTTTAAGGACCATCACAAGGCGTGGGGTTTTTAAAGAATATTTTTAAGGACCATCACAAGGCGTGGGGTTTTTAAAGAATATTTTTAAGGACTATTATAAAGTACGGATTTTTTTAAATAATATTTTTTAAGTACTTAAGTAGTGTTGGACTATTATAAGGTGCGAATTTTTTAATTAATTTTTTTAAGAACTATTATAAGGTGCAGATTTTTTTAATTCCAAACTTTGTCTAGCATTCATTGACCTCTCCGAAAAAGTAATAAATCAAAATCGTTTGTAATATATTTCTTGTTTGTTTTTTTTTTTCTTCTTATGATTCTTCTGTTTTTTTACATTACCTTTCCAAACCATTTGAACTTTCATACTGATCCACATAGAAACCTTCCGGTTCGGGGTTAAGCTTCGAATACCAACGCAAATTAAGCGTATAATTGGATTTCTTTCGCAGTTTATCTTTTACTTCGATATACAGCTGTTGTCGTGGCGGATATTCCAAGAATTTGACAATTTTAATGCCGTTACCTTTATTTCCCATCGGTACAATGGCCTGCAAATAAAATGAAGAGGTGGTAGAGAAACATATAATGTATTAGTAGGAATGTTGAGTAAAATAGTTAGGATAGCAACATGAAACCAAAACATTGTAAATAGTAATATTTGAAATGTAAGAAATTACGAAGAAATGTGGAAAGAATATAGCGATGGAAAAATACGACAACGGTTCAAAGTGAAGGCACTCCAAAGTCAGACGTCTGTATTTGACTGTAGCTGGCATCGGGTGTACATTAAGGCACTTCATACATAGCTAGTAATATTTAAGTTAAAGCTACGAATTTCCGTCCAGATATTGATATAATTCTTAAGGTTTTATGGTCGTAGAGCGGTACCACGAAATATCTGTTTATTTTTTAGATTTTAACCAAATATTAATAAAATAATAATTTACTCGGGAAAAATTCGTCCTAGTGCCTGCTTGTTTGCTTCAGAGAGAATAATCGTAAACATTATATGGTGGTAGAACTCTCTGGCGTGTCGGGAAGGATTTTCGTGATCTAGAGAGAGGTCCATCGTTATAAAAAGGCAGCCTCTATATCAAAATTCCAATCGATGAGCTCAACCCATCCCAGATGAAGATAGTCCGTAGCTTAGAAAAAGCCAAAATCTGTTTGCCAAGTATGTGGTGCAGGCCCGCAAACCACGCTGTATTTATTCAATTACCCCGTCAAGTGTACCCATCTTCGCAAGATCTGTGGCTGCAGCTAATGGAAGTAACGAATTTTTTTCTAATTTGGAGGCATGCTCAGATACTGGATGAAAATAAAATATGAAACTACTGCAACAAAAATAACAAGTATTTGTGCATATGTTTGTTATTGAGGATTTACATAGAATCACTTACTGAGTCGGTTTGCGTATGTCCGTCCATCTATCCATGTATGTGTCTTTTTTGAACACCTGTTTCTATATGAAGGAGTTGTCAGATCGAAACAATATTTAACATGTGTCCATAACAGAGATTGAAGTTTTCAAAACACTTAACATTTTTATACCCTACACAACTATGTTGTCAGGGTATCATAGCTTTGTGCAGCCCCAAGAGTTTGTAACGCCGCGAAATCTCGACTAGCTGAGTCGATCTAGACATGTGTGTCCGTCCCACCATCTGTCCATTATAATTTGTAAACACGATGCAGGCCACAGTTATGGACCTATCTTCATTTTGCATGTAGGATCGTTTCTGGTCAATGAAGGGGATGAAATGGACCAAAAACTAAATTTTTGTCTTATTTTCTGGTCGCTCTAGAGGCCGCAATTATGGCCCAAACATCGTGAATTTTTACATGGAGAAGGGGATGGGGCCAAAGCATGCCTGTTTTGATAAAGATCGGTCAATATTTAGCGGGTGGACCCTGACTTTTGTGTGAAAATTGACAAAACTTGTATTCTATGGCGTATATATTTACTCCTGAAGGATATAGACCCGAGAAGTTGATAGTATATCCAAGAGGAGTGCATGACTTTTAAAATGATACCAATTACATTGTAGTATGTACTCGGATGTGGTAGTTACACTTAAATATTTACAGGTGCTTACGTACTCAGATATTATTTAATAACACATTACCACACTAGAGGGCGGAAATATAGCGCGGATCGCTTTGGAATTTTCCACGAGTGTTCAGGTGTGGACAAGGATAACGCCTATAATTTTCGGTGATGATCAGATAATAATATTGGGATGCAGTAAACCCAAAACTTAATTTTTTTTTTTTTTTTGAGTCGATCTGTAGGCCACAATTGAAAGCCGTGCATCACAACACAACCCACGGCGAAGGGAATCTGGACAAATTATTAGAAGGGCTGTACTGGATATTAGTAATATTGGCTGACCTCTAGTCGGTCAAGAGGTTTGCAAATATCGTATAATATTGTACAAGCTCAGAATAAAGAACCACACAAAGTTACATTTCCGTGGATGTTGTGTAGGGTATCATATGGTCGGTCCCGTCAGACTAACGCGTTTTTTTGTGTTAGGCTAAAATTTTTCCGAACTGCCCTCTTATTTAGACCTTTTTAAATTTGATAAAAACGGTTCGGATTTAGATATATCTCCTATGCATACTTTCATCTGATTTCTTAAAAATGTTGCACCAAACGTCTAAAGTTTGTTCGATATAGAATGACGTATGTATGTAAGCTTTGGTTGTAATGGGCTCAGATGAAGGTATAGCTTCCATATAGAGTTTCCTCCATTCCCTTGCTTCTTCTTTTACATTCTTACATTTATTTTATTTACGGCAAATGTGGCATAGAGTATTGAATTGAGTCTGAAATGGCGTGTCGTATGTATTGAAATTAGTTAAATATAGCTTAAATATATACATACTATCGTCCGATTTCTTGCCAAATGGACGACCAATTTCCTAAGGTTTGAGACAACATTTAGCATAGCGTATCTAATTTAGTCTACAACAATGTGTACGTGTTTCTAGAATGACGGGTCTAAACTTTTGTTGAAATCAGTTCAGATTTAGATATAGGTCCCATATATAGTATCGTTCCATCAAGTCCCATTCTGCTTATCCTGTGAACATTTTTTCTTCATGTGCGACGAGACCATCTCGATTTTCTATGTTTCTTCTTGGTTCGTTAGGTCTCATAGCACTACGTTTCTTATGGTGACGGGCCAGAATATTCTGCATATACTGCATTTGAATACCTGTAACTTCAGCGAGATGATGTTAGACGCAAGATTACGTTTCCCCGCTGTTCAGCAGAATCGATATTTTAAGCATGACGTATTCAATTGTTTGGCCTTATAGCATAATTATTTCTGCACTGTTATTTTTGATTTGCATGTCCTTATTTTTTGATATTAATCTCAAGTCCAACATTGCGAGCCAACCTCTCAAGGTCTTCTAATATTGACAGTATATATTAAGATATGTTGTAAGACAACTTAAGGAATATTAGGGGTGATAGATGGCATCCTTGCTTCACTCTCGCGTTGGTGCGAAACTCTTGGCATACGTACCCGTTGAGAAAAACTGAGAATTCTGCATCTTCGGATTATTATTCGGATTATTTCCTGTGCCACTTCAATGCGTTCACATGACAGTTCGTCAGATGATGTCTTATTTTAAATCGGTATGTTTTTAGGTAAGCCAGGTTAATCCCTTTCTTGTTGTTAAAAAATATAAAAACAACAACAAACAAAAAAACCCTTTTTCCCCAATTTTGTTACTTCCACAACGTCAAGCCTAAGTACTTCCAGAGAAAGCTCTGTTTGAGAATTCTCTAAAAGTGTCAGAAAATGTTGTAGCCGAACATGTAACCATGTGCCATGGTTACAAATTTTAGAATTAATTTTTGGAATAGGTACTGTATGGTTGGGACCGTTCGACATTTGTCCCCTCTTTTTTTAGTTTTCTGCGAACAGCAGACCCGCATCACAATATTTTTCTGAAAAACCTTGATTCTATCTCGCTGCAGATAATTTAGTACTTCCTTACTTGAGAACACCACCCTCGATCACACAGTGATTTATAGAATATCGTGGTTTCTTGAAAATGTATCTACCAAGAACCTTCATTGTGTGTTCATTAACCTTAAGGTTTACCTAGCTGTGTGAACCCCTTCCAAATATATGCAACCTTTGGACTACATTCAAATTAGTCCGTTAGTCGCTACCCATTGCAGAATTTTTAGCAGTCACATGGGAGAAGATGTACAGGTCTTATACAAAAACAGCCACATGGAAGTACTCATCCTGGTCTTCTGTCATAACTGACAGTTCTTCTGTCAAATAAGCCGACCATTTGATCACAAGCCTAATAAAGTTCAATTATTGATACAAAACCCAGAATAAACTGAATTATTATGCCTTCGGAACTTCCTTTCTTTATTAAGAATATCTCTTGAGACTGTCGTACTTTTCCACCGATTATATATGCAGTTACTTACTTAAATAATTGTTAAATTATACCAATAAACATTTTAAATCGAAAACAACAACCATAATGGACAAAAATAACCTGCCAACTTACCTTATCTGTGACATTTAGATCCTGAATGTGCAGCACAATGAAATTTGTTTCCTTTTCAATGAATAGATCGATTGTCACTTGACCTTAAACGATAAAATAGAAAATAGAAATAATAAAAAGAAATAGAGGAAATGATTAGTGGACAGGGTAATTGATAGCAAAAAGGAAACAAAACAAGGTAATTAGATTTGGAGAGTACTTAATATTATACAATTTGTGGTATGTATATTAGGGTGGTATTAAAGACATTAGAAATATTAAAGAAGTAAAGTTAAATTTTGGGACACATTGGTTCATTATATCCTACACAACTATGTTGTCAGGGTATTATAGCTTTAAGCAGCCCCAAGAGTTTGTAACGCCGCGAAATATTTGGTCCTAGACCCACCTTTAAGTATAGCGATCGTCATATCTCAGCTAGCTGAGTCAATCTAGACATGTGTGTCCGTCCGTCTGTCCATTACAATTTGTAAACACGATACAGGCCACAGTTATGGACCAATCTTAACGGAATTTTGCATGTAGGATGGGTTCTGGCCAATAAAGATCGGTTGGTAAAGATCGGTTAATATTTAAGGGATGAAATGGACCAAATATTTTTGGCTGTTTTTTCTGGTTTCTCCAGAGACCGCAATTATGGCCCGAACATCGCGAAATATTACATAAAGAAGGGGATCGAGTAAAAGTATAAGCATGCCTGTTTTGAAATATCTAAATGTGGGGTTATAAAAAACGGAGATCAATATTGATAGTTTTGGTAGTGAGATTCGATAGCCAATGAGAATATAAATGTATCTTTTTAGGGCCCGAAATGACACATTGCAGACAAGAGGATTAGAAAAAGACGGTTTTACATTGAAAAATGTTTGCTCGAAACCCCAAAATTTCAATTTACAGCGACTTTAGTTGGAAAATGGGTCTCCCACATTGAAAATATAGGAAAACAGAGCGGTACATTTATATGTGGGCTATGTCAAGAAAAAGAACTATAGTAAAAATTGTTTACGAATAATTTTGTACACGCCAAGAATGTGGAAAGCACTAAACTACGGGATCTTAAGCAGGAAAATGAGATAAGGACCACCTAAATACCTAAAATGTATCGGAGACATTGTAAGAAGCTATATGAAAACATGGACCTGCATGGAATGTTTTCTGCAAAGCAATTTTGTACTCCAAAAGCATCCGGCATACTTTATTACAGCCCCAACGGTTGGAATAAAAATGTCTAATATTGGAGGACTATTATGAGAGGCTTATGTCAAAAAATTAACCTGTATTAAAAGTGGTTTTCTATCTCCTGACAACGGAAAATTCCTAATCATAACCACTTCGTAGGCTGAATGTGGACAAGACGTCAGATAAGCTTACACACGCATCCGACATAAGCATCGAGTGTGTTGGTTTAAAATCTGTTTATATTTAGATATATCTTCTATATATAATTTCATTCGATTTCATAGGATCCCTCATGTGACTCATATGCCAAAACAAAGACTTACTCTTAAAACTCACCAAAGCCTAATATTGTCCACATCGATTGGAAATACGACTACGACCATTACAATGGCGAAAAGGGAGCGTGACTTAAATGTGTACACATACTTATATTAAATACTTTCTACTGGTAGATATTTTATATCCTGAGAAACATAAATGCCTAATTATAGCTACATCGATTGGAAAATACGACTAGGTCCATGAAAATTACCTATATGAAAATTGAAAATTATGCTTTGACATAATGTGGAAGTCCGAAAATGGTGTGTTATTTTATAAAAACATAAACCTATATTGGAAATTTCCTACGAAGAATGTTTTACACTCCAAGAACGCTGAGTGACAAATTGCAGTCACTTCGATTGGAAAACGCAGCTAATACCTTCAAACTACCAAAAATGGTCGTTACAATTAAATGGGTGCTCTACATATATTACAAATTTTGTGAGAATATGGAATGGAACATACAGTTATTCGGTTGGAAAATGCGGTTAAAACGAACAAAATATCTAAAATTTGACGGATCTGTATATGATGGAGGTTATGTTAAATCATGGATTTATATTGAAAAGTTTCTGGTAGAGATTGTTTTGCCCTCCAAGAAGCTGGTATGTCAAATGGGGGTTGTATAATAAGACCTATAATAAATATTTTTTCTAAGTAGGTTTTTGTAGACAGAAAGTCCGAAAAGTCTAATTCGAATATATTAAATGGAAACGCGGGTAGGACCATCACGTGACCTTTATTAAAGGCTATGCCAAACTATAAGCCTATCTTAAATATTGTCTACTATAACGTACGCTTATACACTGGAAAATAGCCACACAATTGAAAAAATGAGCCCGGACCATGATAAAGTAGTAAAGTCGGACTGGGCCAACTATATGATACCCTTCACCACTTTGGGTATCAATGTTCCCTCGGAGGAACATACTCATGTCTTTCTGCAACCTATGCTAAATTTAATTTCATTCGGGCATGGGACAAATGGGAAAAATTTATGGAAAACGATTTATAGCAAAATTGATACTTATGCACCATTTACAAAAAACGGACAAAAATCTATGTTGGAGCTATATCGAAATCTGAACCGATTTTCCCGAAACTTACCACTCATCATTCTAGACTCAATTTAGCACGCTATGTCAAATTTCGTGCAAATCGAAGGCTATAAAGGGACTATGATGCACCATTTACCTAAAATCGGACGAAAATATATATGGAAGCTATATCAAAATCTGAACCGATTTTCACGAAAATAAGCACACATCGTTCTAGACTTAATTCAGAAGGATATGCCAAATGTCGTGCAAATCGAAGTATATAAGAACTTTGGTGCACCATTTACATAAAATCGGATGAAAATATATATGGAAGCTATATCTAAATCTGAAACGATTTTCACGAAATTTAACACACATCATTCTAAACTCAATTTAGTACCCTATGTCCAATTTCGTGCAAATCGAATGACTATGATGCACCATTTACCTAAAAACGGACGAAAATATATATGGGAGCTATATCTAAATCTGAACCGATTTTCACGAAAATAAGCACACATCGTTCTAGACTTAATTCAGAAGGTTATGCCAAATTTCGTGCAAATCGAAGGATATATAGGATCTTTGGTGCACCATTTACATAAAATCGGACGAAAATATATATGGGAGCTATATCGAAGTCTGAACCGATTTTCACGAAATTTAACACACATCATTCTAAACTCAATTTAGTACCCTATGTCCAATTTCGTGCAAATCGAATGACTATGATGCACCATTTACCTAAAATCGGACGAAAATATATATGGGAGCTATATCTAAATCTAAACCGATTTTCACGAAAATATACACACATCGTTCTAGACTTAATTCAGAAGGTTATGCCAAATTTCGTGCAAATCGAAGGATATATAGGAACTTTAGTGCACCATTTATATTAAATGGGTCGAAAATATATATGGGAGCTATATCTAAATCTGATTTTCAGAAATTTAACACACGCTTAATTCATTACGCTATGTCAAATTTTGTGTAAATCGAAAGATATTTAGGGACTTTGGAGCACCATTTACCTTAAATCGGACGAAAATATATATGGGAACTATATCCAAACTGAACCGATTTTCCCAATTTCAATAGGGTTCGTCCTTGGCCAAATGAATGAGCTGTGCCAAATTTCATCCATTTCGAATAATAAATTCGACCTGTACTATGTTTACAATTTAACATGGACAGACAGACGAACATGCATAAACCATATGTCTATCTCGTTTCAATTTCCATTAATTGACGAGGAAGAAATTTGTTGATCATGTTGGTCGGGACCCTGATATGGAGATTATGTCAAAACATTGACCTATACTTATTAAAAAAAAATTATAAAAAGTTTCCAAACTACTCTGAAATTTTTTCCCTAGACTGGATTTTTTAATGAATATTTTCCCAAGACTATGAGCGCGAAAAAGATCTTCACAGAACATTTTCAAAATTAACATATGAATATGCCCATCATCCATATTAAAGTCCTGCTCTAATTTAAATATTTTATTTGTATAAGGCAAATTTTTAAGCCGACGTGACTGAAATTTGACATGACGGACTCTTGGTGGATAAAAACTTCTCCAAAGAATGTTTCAATACCACAGTAGCGAGCCATAAAAATGCAACGCTTTGGTCATATGATTACGGTAACTATTATATCAATTTTCTTTTCCTGTGTATTATTACAATTATAAGTTTCAACCATATTTCAAACCAACCATAGGTCGTTCCAAATTCGGTTTGCAAAACATATTTTCACTCTCATGACGAATGCCCATGACCAACAGTGTAAAACCCCGCCAAGTGTTAACCCCTGCTGGAGGGTACAAAATATTCAATTTCACTATTTTTTATTAAAGAATATTTTCTCCAATAGAGGCGGACAATTCGAGGAATTTGTTATTTTTTAAGTTTAAATAATTCGATTTGTTATATTTTTTTAACCGTCCACCCTAATACTCACTCAAACAACTACATATAATTCAAATAAATATACATACCTTTAACATCTAACGTCGTTAAGTTCGGATGGATTGTCACCATATAGCGCACTGGACGAACATTGGTGGGTAGGGTTAAATTCAACCATGGAAACGGTTCACCATTTGTGGCAATCGGATTAAAGGGTTCGGTTACATTCTCTGCGTCCGTTTGAAGGCCCGTCGGTAATTTGCGTGCACACGAACAATCTGGAACGGAAATGGAAACAAAGAAACGATTAAAAGAAAATACCAATGGGGAACCATTTAAAAAAAAAACAACGTCATTAACGTCAAAAAAATTGCAACGTCAGCAGCTATTGGAACACCAACAAGTGGGTAGTGGTTCCACGAACTACATTACTTCACTTTATCTAACTTCTCTTTGTCTAGTTTTATTTTACTTTTTTATCTTTTTTTCTACAATTGCTATTGTTGTAAAAGTTGTTGTCTGACTTTGCAAAGAAACACCTTTGTTTGAAATGCGGATTTTTTTTTTTTTTGCAGTGACAGACAGCAGCAGTGGCACCTTTAACAATTGAAGGTTTACTAGTTTTTTACATTCCTATTCTTCTTCTTTTTCTAAAAATAAAACATACTAACGAAAAAATAGTATATAATAAAATGTATATCACTTTGTTGTTAAATACATTTAAACTATAAATAACTAAACAATGAAAAAATATGTAAATAAAGGTGTAGCACAGAGCACAGTGGAGGAAATTTGTAAATTTGATGGGGGGCAATTATTCATATATTATGGTAGCTATATCAAAACACAGACCTACACTGGAAATCGCCTCCTAAGATGATTTTTATCCCACTTAAATATTGTTAGTTTATTGGGAAAATATTTTGCGACCTTATATTTGGAGAGCTAAGTTAAAGAATGTACCTACATTAGATCTTATCTCCAAAGAAGTTTTCTACCCTCCAAGAACTCGGAGTTTAAAATTAAAGCTACTTCGATTATAAATGTGGCTAAATCCTTCAGAAATTCAGCGATACCGATATTGGGATGTTATGTGCTAAAACGAGCCTATCTCGAAAATTTCTATGGAGACTAAATTAAAACATGGACCTATAGGGTGAGATGAAAAAACTGCAACCAACTTCAGACTGCTGTCATTTCTAAGCCACTCGTCCGATAGCTGTTAAAATTATTACAGTGACAGCTCATTTTATTGTTTGCAAGAGTACAAAAGCATTTTGGTGAGAATTTTCCAGAAAGAAAGTTATTCATGATGGAATTCAAGCGTGATAGTGTAATTTCTTAATTTTTGTCTGGAAAACCACAAGTGGCTGTCGTTGGAGCACTCTAGCATTTAAATGTGAACAAATATTTTGTGTCTCGTATCATCGCTTGTTACCGTCATACTGGTAGCGTAGCGTAACAGGAACATCAGGAGAAATGGTTCGAAAAGTAAAGAAGCGACTTAAGCGAAACCCGCGTTGCAGTGGCCGAAAAATGGCTCGTGAACTGAACATATCGCAATATTCCATTCGGCAAATATTGAAAAATGAGATCGGGGTAAAGCCATTGAAATTCAAAAAAGTGCAAGAACTTACATCGCAACGGAATGAAAATAGACTCAAAATAGCTAAACAGTTGCTTCGCTTAACCGAAAGTGGTGAACTGCCGAATTTGATTTTCTCCGTTGAGAAAACATTCGTTGTCCAGCAGTTTGTAAACAAACAAAATGATCGTGTTTACTTGCCAAAGAGGTCAACTAAAAGCGCCGCCCATGGTGATGGTGTGGGCCGCCATAACAGACGATGGTCGTTCTCCGTTCGTATTAATCGACCGAAGCATAAGAATAAATGCCGAATGTTATCGCGAAAAAAAATCTGGAGGGTGTATTAAAGCCTTGGGCATGCAAACATTTTTGCCGCAGACCTTGGACATTCCAACAGGACTCAGCACCATCGCACTCAGCACGGGTCACCCAAGAATAGTTACAAAATGAGGTTCCTCGCTTAATTTTTAGCGCACAATGGCCACCAAAATCTCCGGATACCAATCCGTTGGACTATTGTGTCTGAAGTATTTTGGAAAGCAAGGTTGGCACTAAGAAAATACCAAAGTGTCGATCACCTCAAGCAAGCGCTTCGCCGGGAATGGGCAAAATTCGGGCAGCATGTGACGGTTTCATTGGTCGTTTGAAGGCCATAATTCGTGCCAAAGGTGACCAATTCGAACAAATCTAAATTTATTCTAAAATTTGATGCTATTTCCGACATTTTTTGCTATCATTCAATAAAATTTAAAAAACAATGTAAAAACCAGTGAGCGGAGCAGTATAGTCGGACGGGGCCGACCATACGATACCCTACACAACTACCACGGAACTCGGATGTTTATTCCGATTCCCTTCACAGTGGGTTGTGTTGTGATGTTCGCCTATATTCGACTAGAAGACACACAAATATATTAAGTTTTCGGTCCACTTCATCCCAAAATTTTAATCTGATCATCATCGAAATTATAGGCGTTGTCTTTGACCATAATTGGAACTTCATGGACAATTTTAAAAGGATCAGGGTTATATTTCCGCCCTCTAATGTGGTAATGGGTTACTAAATAATATCTGAATACGTAAATATAAATATTAAGTGTAAGTGTATTTAAGTGTAACTCCCACATCAGAGTACATACGACAATGTAATTGGAGTCATTTTGAAGGTCAACCATTCCTCTTGGATACACATCAACTCCACGGGTCTATATGCTTCACGAGTAAATATATACGCTATAGAATACAAATATTGTAATTTTTCACACAAAAGTCAGGGTCAATTTGACCCATTAAATAATGACCGATCTTTAACAATGCAGGCATGCATATTCTCTGGCTCAATCCTCTTCTCCATGCAAAATTTCGCGAAGTTCGGGTCATATTTGCGGCCTCTAGAGCGACCAGAAAAACCGACAAAAATTAAATATTTGGTCCAAAAACTTCATTCATTGGCCAGAACCCTTCCTACATGCAAAATTTCGTGAAGATTGGTCCATAACTGTGGTCTGTATCGTGTTTATAAATTATAATGGACAGACGGACGGACGGACACACATGTCTAGATCGACTCAGTTAGTCGAGATAATACGGTCGGTATACTTAATGGTGGGTCTAGGATCAATATTTCGCGACGTTACAAACTCTTGGGGCTGTACAAAGCTATAACACCCTGACAACATAGTTGTGTAGGGTATAATTATGGCGTTTTTCTTTGTTGCAGTTTTTTTATCTCGCCCTGTATATTAAAAAACTTCGAAAAATATGGAACACGAATTGCCACATTACATTCACATTGATTGAAACATTTAAAAATTAGGCTGTGCAATATGGAAATTTGTTTGTGAAACAGTTTTCTACCCTTTATGATTCGGAAATGCTCAATTTCTGCCATCTCAGTTGTAAAATGTGACTAAAATCTTCTTATACCTGATCACCAAGAAACAGATATGGCCATTAAGAACATTTCTATTGGAAAATGTGACTAAAAATTTCAACAAGTAAAAACTTCGTTGAGTTTTATACCCTCCACCACTTGATGTGCATTCAAAATTCCTTAATTCGATCGGAATTGATAAATCAAATTTAGACGAATTTGATGGAAAAACATATCCAAACCCCCATAATACCGATGTATCAGATTATATGGGGGCTACCCGGAAACTTCGACCAATCATGATAATTTTTGGTAGGGAAATTTTCTGCTTAGTGAGAATACCAAGTATAAAATTACAGCTAATTTCGTTGAAACACGTGCCGAAGCCCCTCAAAATACTAAAATTTGGGATGTATTTAACACCCCATGAGAACCTAAAAAATCTAATTAGTGTCAATTCGGTTAAAAACCGCGCCCAAACCCCCAAAATACAGAATATTTGGATACCGTATTATGGGGATTACCCCGAAACATGAGCCAACATTGATAATTTTTCGTAGGCAGATACGAAACAATGGTGCCTTTATATTTGAGGTTATGTCAAAACATGAGCCTATATTGAGGAAGACTAATTGCTGTTACTTCGGTTGGAAAATGCGGCTAAAACCTTCACACTACCTCTATATAGAAACTATACCAAATTGTTACTCTTTTAAGTGATTAAGATTTCTACTCCCAAGAACTTGGAGTTGCAGTCAGTTCGGTTGAAAAATGCGGTTAGATGCAACCTGTATGTGAAGTCTATGTCAAAATATGGACCGTAGTTGACAATTTTCTAGAAATATATTTTTACCCACCCAGATTCGTGTTCCACTTCGATTGGAAAATTATGCTAAAACCAAAATAAAAAAATTAGGCGGGACATGGACTTACAATGAAACATGTCTGCAAAAATTGTTTTACCCTCTAAGACAAAGAAATAACAAATTATAGCCACTTCGGCTGAAAAATCCTAAAATCCTCAAAATATCTAAAGTTGGGTGGGACCAGTATTGGGGGTTGTACAAAACCCCATACTGTTCTCAACCCTTCATTATTATATCAATTGCTATACCAAAAATGCAAGATCTAATATATTCCCTAAAATGTACTTAATGTACATATTTTAGTACAATATGTAACGTTTCGTACGGGTGAACTTAATAACAAGTGTACTAAATTTAGTACAACTTTGAATATTTTCAAAGCCAGTTTCTAAGCTCAACCCTTCACATATGTATATGATCTTCTAAATAATGATAAATAATTATATTTTTTGCAAATATGTAATCATTTTTATACCAATTGCACCATTTTAATGGTACCGAGTTAGGTTAATTAAATATTTTTTAAATCATATTAAAATTTAAAAAAAATAATCCCTCCACTGTACGAACTGTTATACTATTAATATATGTGTACAATAAAATATATATGTATGTATATAGAAAAAGGGAGACAAAAAAATAAAAATTATTATTATCACACAAAACACAGTAGAAGTACAAAAGAAGAAAAAATAAAAAAACATCAACAAACAAACAGATACAAAAAATAAGATAATTGCATTTCGGTTTTGCATTGAAAACATTTCAAGAGGACGTTGTGGAGAATGGGTAAATGGGGATGTGACAGGCAGGCTAGCGGAATGCCTAGACAAAATTAGATGGATGGGTGGTACGTCAATAATGTCAAGCATATTGACGTACCACCCATGATTGAATAGGACGATACCAAGAAACAAAATTGAAAAATACATAATCTAAAACACAAATACAAAC